TGTGTGACAGCTCAATGCTGAGGATGCCTTTAAGATAGGTGTTTTCACACATATCTGGACTTGTTGCATCCTTTTTTGGAACGGTGGAGATTTTTTGTGTGTGTCAAGAGGATTTTTTTAGGGATATGCTGTGATTTTTCGCACACAGTGAACAATAGATGAATTATGGCGAAGTTGTAACTAAAAGAAAGACAAACAACACTTTAGATGCCTTGTTTATTGACTATCAAAGCAGAATTTTTATCAACTCTTTTTTCGTCAAAATAGAAATCATATTCATCCCAAGGAAAGTATCTTTTGTAAAAATGTCCAATCAGCCCAGACACGCTGAGCAGTCCGTTCTTGTTTCATCATCCTCACAGTACGAGTCTCCTGCACTATGTCCCTTTACACCCAGCATGAACTAGCGGAAGGGGTGGGAGCGTATATTTGGCAGTTGCGCTATGCTTATGAGGATAGCTGTTGTTTTAGCAGGGCCGTGTGAATGTGTGTGTGAGCTGCGTGTGCACGGTCTGACTCATTTGCCTGTGATTTGTATTGAGGAGTGGGCAAATTGAACCTGAGTGTTGGTCGTGCTTAATTGTCGTCACCAATTAGTGCATTGTTGAAAGCCACAATGGCTCCACTGTAGCGAGGGGAACGTTTCCTTTGTGCTTCTCCAGTGGCCCACAGGCCAGTCAAGACTCATTTAGGACTGACAACGAGGGGCCAGAAATGGCATCAGAAAAAGACAACAAAAGGGCGGTTTAAGGAGAAAAAGACGACGACAGAATGGAGGCAGGAGGGGTGGAGACAATAGTGACATGGGATGGAGCACCAGGGTCAGTTTTTTAGTGAAAAAGGGGTTAGAATGTCTGATTCAACCCTCTGGTTCCCTAACGTCCACCGGCCGCACAAAGACACGAACCCGCGCAATCAGCGCTGAGCAATAACAAGTCTCGACTTCAGTTGTCATTTCTCAAGTTCTGTTGTTTTTTTTTTTTGTATGTTTGGGATCTTTTCATGCATAGTTATGTTACACACACATTTTGTCCTTAAATATTAATGCGTAGTAATCAAGCCATACTTGTGATTTAATTTTATGTACAAAACTGTAGGGTAGAGTACATTTGGGACATGTTTACAGTTGAAACACCTTAAATAACTTGCGTGCAAAGGAACCCTGAGCCGTGATTTTTGCTCCACACATGCATATTAGCATTCTCTTTGATCATGGAAAATTTGAAAGGTGTGTGTCTTTCCACTCCAAAGATATAGGCAAAAGTTTTTTTTCCAAGGTAAGATTTTCATTTCACCATGTCCCTTCAACAATGAATAGCTTTTTATCCTTTTATGACTGTTAAACTTCACCTATATCATTGCAAACGTTACTCTGTGCTCTAAAAATAGACATATTTTATGATATTGTGCCATGCAAGATCTTTGCATAATCTTGAGAAACATTTGAGTATGTGAGTAAATATACACACAATATATTATTGTGTTCATACAAGTTATATGGACAATTAAACCACAAATGAAAATGTGTCTTTGCATGAAATAAAATATCAAACTAAGTCCTATTTGTTTAATATTTATGAAAAAATACGTTTTTTTCGTTTTATCTAAATATATAAAAATACAGTTCAAACGTTTGTGGACAGTACGTTTTTGAAAAAGTCTTACTCACTCACCAAGGGTGCATTTATTTGATAAAAACACAGTAATATAATGAAATATTATTACACTTCAAACTAACTGTTTTCTATTGTAACATTTTCAAATGTAATGTATTCCTGTGATGACAAAGCAGAATTTTCAGTATCATTACTCCAGTCTTCAGTGTCACATGATCCTTCAGAAATCATTCTAATATGCTGATTTGGTGCTCAAAAATATTTCTTAATTTTTTTTTATTATCAATGCTGAAAACAGTTACTGTTTAATATTTTTGTGGAAACCATGATCATTTTTCAGGATTGTTTCGTGAACAGAATGTTCAACAGCATTTATTTATTTTATTTTTATGTATATATTTATTGTAAAAGTATAAAAGTCTTTACCATCATTTTTTATCAATTTGATCAATAAAATATATATAATAGTTTCATATTTATTTTATAAAATATGAAATAATTATATAATAATTATAAATATCGTTTATACGTATCTTTTTATTTGTATTTTAACTGCTGCAGTTTTACACTGGTACAGCGGTACATCATCATGTTGTTCGAATGGACTTATTTTTAGCATTACGCTGTTAAAAAAGCTTTTCCAATTCCATATCCTATCACTGCACTTCAACAAAATACAACAAAAGCATCCCATATCATATCATCTTCTCGTGACAGAGACAGGAAAGCAAATGCAGATGAGAAAAGGTCAATTTGGTGAGATTGCATCACATTGGCATTGTGTATGAATTGTCCGTCCACACACAGACATGAAGAGTCGATTATCAGATAAAAGCATTTGCCCAAACACAGGTTCAGGCATGTAAAGAAAGAGAGGAGGGAGTGGAAAAACCAACCACCATGGGATATGTTCATGCCCAGGAGACATCACAAAATAAAACAGACGGCTAGTGTGCACCACACCTCATCACGCTTCAACATCATTTGATGTTGACAACGCTCTACTGCTCAACTAAAGTAAATCCAAGCTCCACTTATCTAGAGCATGACTGAGACTGATTTTAATCAGGTTATATTTCCTCTCTGTATCACTATTTCAACAAACTAGCTAAGTACTTTAGATACAAGTATGCATGCTAGCAGTTTCCCTTGCAAGGCCTGACATACCATGGACACAGTATACAGAAAGGAAGTCAGTCGGCGCTCATGTGACTCCTTAAGGTGGAGTTTTGGAGTTAATGTGTGACAATATGCGTAGGTAACCTATGAGACAGGTGCACAAATGGCTGGAAAGATTGATTCGGTTACCATAGCATTTAAGACACAATCAAACATCTCGAGCGTTACAAGGAAAACAATGCAATCAGCCATATGTGGCCTCGTCTGTCTCAGTGATTGATTCCTAAGCAAGTCTGTGGCATGTAGAGTTCTGTTTACTCTCGTCTTCTCAGACTTTCTGTGAGCTGATGTCATCTAAGTGTTAATCAAGCATTTGAAACACCCAACGGAGAAGCCGGATTGGTCACTTGCACTTTTAAACACACACATATACTGGCACACACCCTGTGAGACCTTTGGACTTATAGATAGAAAGCTGTGAGATTACAGAATACTGAATCAACAATGTGTGTGTGTATGTGTGAGAGAGAGAGAGAGAGAGAGAGAGAGAGAGAGAGAGAAAGCCACCCTACTGAGAAGAATTTCTAAACATGCTTCCTGTCTGAGTAAGTGAACGGAGGAGTTTGTATAGCACCAGTGCAGACGTGTAGGGAATGGGCAATAATTTGTCACACCTCTCTTAATAGCACAATAATTTAACTGTACTTTATCAGTATTATATACTATACTGTACATACAGTGGTTCCCAGAAGTAGTAACTTTACTTTCTAAGTGATTTTTTGCAATGACTTTGAACCAGCTGTTCCTAAAGTGATTTCTGACGTATGTGTGACGTCATTTTTTTCAAGTTCACATAGGTCTAGTTCATCACATTAACTATGAACATGATCCACTAACATTTGACAACCTGGGTATCTTAATTTTGAATGGTATATCTATTATATTATCATTTTTAAAAACATATATTTTAAACATCTTTTTAAGAAATATTTTGTTTGGAAAGTGTTAGAGCTGTTTTTCTTAGAAATAAATGTCAGGTTTGATTTTTTTTTTTTAATGTTATTCAATGCTATTTATACATTTTTAAGCTAAGCTGACAATGTTATTTTAGTATTATTAACATAATATTCTAGTATTAATTAAGGGCTTTTATTTTTATATTTTCAGTTTTAGTGATTCTGTTACATGCTTAGTCCGTTTTTTTAATATTTCTATTTAACTTTGTTTTTATTTCTGTTTTAGTAATTTTAGTATGTCAACTTAAAAACTTTTTTATAGGCAACATATTTAATTTTATGAAACATTTTTAAGTATTTCTAATTAATAAGTAATAATTCTATTTTTCAGAAAATGTCAGAAAATCATTTTTATTGGATTTATTTTTTACTATTTAGTTAATCACTACTATGGTAAAAGTGTTTAAATCATTTACAGAATCATGGAATCACAAATCAGTCATTCAGATTTACAGCTGTAGGTCCAGTGCTTTACCACAAAACAGGACAAAAACAAACTTCAACTTATTTGGACTCGTTTTATTTGGTTGATGATTCCAAACATCACAAATATGGAAACAACGTCTGAACTCTGACCTAGAGATGGCATCCTAGTGCACACTAGCTGTTCACAAACCGAGTATCAGTATGGCAAGGCGCTCCTCTCTGTTGCTCTCTTTGTCTCGTCGAGGCGTGAGTGATTAAGCTTGCGTTAGGAGTCATTATCTGAGTGTTTGCACAGCTCCGTCTGTCCTGAATGGGCCCAGTGGGTAAACACAAACGTAATACAGGATACACTTGCACAAGAGACTCAAGGCCTTTTCATATTCACACACACACACACACACACACACACACACACACACACACACACACACTCGCCAGTGCCATTCACTGACTCCACTGACTAATTTAAACATCCTCATTACGGTTAAATGAGTAACATGTGGCATATTCCCAGAATTTTTTTAACTAACATAAATGTACATTTTGTTGATCTGTTAAGCCATTGTTCTAGTATGCCTAACCAGTGTAACTATCCCATTTTTCTATCCAATTTAGGGTGGAAACCATGCCACTGTTCAAGTCTCATTAAATGATTAAAAGCTTAATTTCACACAGTGATATGAATAACGACACCTGTTACACAAACCATAGAAATAATATTAGTTTCATAGATAGATAGATAGGGCCGTTTTTTCCACACAGATGACTGTCAGTGGCCCCTGGTGAAAAAGGGGTTGGGTCCTGAAAGTTGTGGGCGTGTCATTGCGGGTGGAGTATTTTCACTCCACAGTACCTCTACAGAGTGAGTAATTACTGGCTCCGCAGCCAACCGAAGGAACACACGCTCTGTCACACAGAAAAATACGTTCTCAACAAATCAGTAGAAGAGTCTGGCGTGGAATTGTGGAGTTTATACATGTTAAAGTGCGTGAAAGGACTCCAATGGACTGCTGGGAAACACACTGAAGGAAATGGCAGGAAGCACCTGAAACCTGTTGCTCTGAGCACTAATGCGAAAGGTGATTTTATTTATTTATTTTAATTTTTTTATGTGTATCATTCACCCTTATTATACTTTTAAGAAGGGATTTAATTTTGGACGTCAGATTTCTTTTTCATATTTTCTTCTCGATTTTTCGCCGTCTTTTTTGTTGTGAATCCGCCGGATTGTTTTCATCGGATGCATTGACCTGCCATGTGGAATTTAATGCAGATCAGAAAGGAAACCGACGATTAAAATGTTACTTTCTTACAAAGTATCTGCGGGAAATGAACTTTCGACCTTAACACGGTTTACTCGGTGAATGATTGACCATTTAGTCCACGGATGCACGTGCTTTTCCATGGTACGTTCTGACGCTCAGTTCTATGTTTATGATTTTCTGTAGAATTATTAAGCTGTTGTTTGATTTAACTGTAGTTGTTCTCTTACTCTTTCAGCCCGTGTGTAGGATCATGGTCTGTATAAAATGCACTCACACTTGGAAGAAAGTGTGCTCGGGATCTGGAATGAAACTTCACTGTGATTTACAACCTTGTGAACTGTGGACATGCTGCTGGAGCAATTAAGGTTTCCTTTTGGGATTTCTTCTTTCCTAAACGCAGCAATAAATTAAAAAAAGGAAGGGAGGAAAACCTGAGCCGAGAAAATACTCAAGAATTGAAATTCATAGTTTTTCAGTATGAGGAAACCTGCAGATAAGCATCATTTCATCATGGAGACCTCGGGGATGCACCTGGTTGGATTTTGGCTGCACGTTCTGCTGCTGTTGCAACTGTCTAGGCTTGGCGATGCTGCTTCTAAGGATATAGTGTGTGAGCCAATCACTGTACCGATGTGCAAAGGGATCGGATACAATCACACCTACATGCCCAACCAGTTCAATCATGACACCCAGGATGAAGTCGGCTTGGAAGTGCACCAGTTTTGGCCACTTGTCCGGATCCGTTGCTCCCCAGACTTGCTTTTCTTCCTGTGCAGTATGTACACCCCCATCTGTCTTCAGGACTACAAAAAACCTCTACCGCCTTGTAGGTCCGTGTGCGAGAGGGCTAAGAGGGGTTGCTCTCCCCTCATGATTCAGTATGGGTTTGAGTGGCCGGAGCGGATGAGTTGTGAGCAGCTGCCTATGCTGGGCGACACTGATCGGCTTTGTATGGACAGGAACAGCAGTGAGACCACAACTCTATCACCTCCTTTCCCCAAACCCACTCCCAAGGGAACGCCACGACATAGAACCACTGCAAAATCTACTCCGCCGCAGAAGTGTGACCGTCAGTGCCATTGTCGAAACCCCCTAGTGACAATTAAACAGGATGCACATCCTCTCCATAACCGGGTACATACTGGCTCTCTATCCAATTGTGCTTTGCCTTGCCACCAACCCTACTTTTCCCTGGATGAGCATGCCTTTACAACCTTTTGGATCGGCCTGTGGTCGGTGCTGTGCTTTGTCTCGACGCTCACCACTGTGGCCACTTTCCTCATCGACATGGAGCGTTTCAAATATCCAGAGCGGCCGATTATCTTCCTGGCTGCTTGTTATCTGTTTGTGTCGCTGGGGTACATTGTGCGACTGCTTGCGGGCCATGAGCGGGTAGCTTGCGAGGGCTCCGGCAACCAACAGCACATCCTCTATGACACCACGGGTCCAGCCCTTTGCACGCTAGTTTTCCTGCTCATATATTTCTTTGGAATGGCCAGCTCCATCTGGTGGGTGGTGCTTTCCTTCACCTGGTTCCTGGCAGCAGGAATGAAATGGGGGAATGAGGCCATCTCGGGTTACTCACAGTACTTCCACCTTGCTGCTTGGCTCGTCCCTAGTGTCAAGTCCATCGCTGTCCTGGCTTTGAGTTCGGTGGATGGAGACCCCGTGGCTGGGATCTGTTACGTCGGCAACCAGAGTTTGGAGAGCCTACGTGGCTTCGTATTGGCACCGCTGGTCGTCTACCTCTTCACTGGCTCCCTCTTCCTTCTGGCCGGATTTGTTTCACTCTTCCGGATCCGTAGCGTCATTAAACAGGGCGGCACCAAGACAGACAAGCTGGAGAAATTAATGATCCGGATTGGACTCTTCACTGTCCTGTACACTGTGCCCGCAAGTATTGTGGTGGCTTGCCTAGTGTACGAGCAACATTACAGGCTAGGTTGGGAGCGGGCCCTGGCCTGTTCTTGTCCGTCCGAGCGCCAGCGGCTCGGCATGGGGCCGGACTATGCCGTCTTCATGCTGAAATACTTCATGTGTCTTGTAGTAGGCATTACCTCAGGTGTTTGGATCTGGTCTGGGAAGACTCTGGAGTCCTGGAGACGCTTTGTGGCACGGTACCGCCCCTGTAGGACCCAGAAGCCACCTGTATCAGGCTCCTCCATGTACAGTGAGGCGAATACCGCTCTCACAGCCCAAGCCGGAACAGCACCCACTGGGACCTATAACAAATCAGCACCCTCATCACACGTCTGACCATTGGCCAGAAAGCCCTGGTCCATTATAAACCCTACAACTGTCAAACGAGTGAAGCCTGAAGTGTGCAGGTCATGACTCTGAATGAGCAGGTGTCTGTTCGACCTGATGGATTGAACGAATATATTATGAAGGATTTTTACAGGCTATTGGTTGTTTAATTGTAGTCCAGTTCTTCTTATTCACTGGTCTAATTTGCAGAGCAATGAACATGTTGATACTTTGTGAGGGAAAAGATCATTTGTCTACTTTACAATTGTTGCAAGCATCTTAGCCACCTTCTGTTTGTTCTTCTAGACCATGAATGATGGAAAAAAAAGAAGGTTAATACTTGATATGAGTCAAGATGAATTGAGGGGTTTGTGGAGATATTTTATTTATTTGTGTATTCTTGTAAATATGCTATTCAAAAACTTTGTGATATCTCAGATATCAGTCACTCTGTTGTTTGTGACTATTGGCATTTTGCAGGATGTTAGTAGGATCATCTCTGGTCTTCTAATTTACAAATGTGTAGGGCGTGCTTTCATGTGTTCTCTCTCTGTGTGTGTATATGTATGTGTATATATATATATATATATATATATATATATAAAAACAATTTCAGCTTATACTGTGCAAGTGGAGGAAGAAAGCAAGTCTAGTGAAGAAGCAGTTCACATTCACCTAAAGTTGTTGCAGGCAGTTCTGCACAGGTTAATGCTCACCGAATGTTCTTCAGTGGCCCTCAGCAGCCACTTGTCAAAGCCATCTCCCCACTGATAATAGATTGTTGGTTAGCGTCTATTGGGCAGTGTTAAATGATAGGATGTGTATGTACCATCTATAGAGTTGTTGGAAGAGTCTGTAGGTCTATTGTGTGAGCTTGACTTCCCTCTTGTGGTCAATGGTTCAATTTTCACTAGGTTCAGGTGTTAACCAGCAGCCATTCTAGGGTTGTTGAATATAATTTTTTTCTTTTTTTGGTAAGGCCAAATATTAACTGGTTTCAAAATGTGGAACAACAATTTATTTTGGTCTGTTCATTTCCTTGTCAAGCCTCATGATCCTGTCTTTGGTTATTTTATTAACCATTGTAATAAAAATGTAAATAAGTCATTTCACCTTATTTGTGTTTCGAATCAGAAAACCAGTGTTGGCTATGCACTTTTAGCAGACAGAATCTGTAATTGTTGTTTTTGTAGTTCTATGTGAAATCTTTCAGTGGAGCACTAAGGTGTAAATGTAAGCATTGTTTGGCTACTTTTTATGGTCCAAGCTGTTGTAGAAGTAACATTTCCTGTGTAGTCTTTAAAATGCTTCACAATTTTGCTGCATGTCTGGTTGTGTACATACTTGTTTGGCTCTATTCGTATGTAAATCTTGTAGAAGACATGTCCTTTTATGAGTTCAGACTGCAACTCTGTACATATGTTTTGTAAAAGAGATGAAATACAGTGCTACAATTTTAAAGAGATTTTTAGATATTTATGAAAAGTGTCTTTGAAACATGTTTCTTTTGTTTCTCTTACTGGTAGAGAATAAAAGCGAGGCGCAATTTGTGAACCTGCAAGTCAAACGTTTGGTCTATTATTAATTATGCTTTTATTTTTACTGCTGTTTTGGAGGAAAAAAAACCCAGTTGGGTATATCACCCAGTTGATATAAAAAATAAAATCCCACGAGTGTGTCAAATCATTTTTACTTTTCTGATGTTTTGTTAGTAGAAAGCTATCAATTTTAGATTTTTTTAAAATTACTATCAAAGAAGAAAATCTTTGTGTTGCTTATATTTTTGTGGAAACTGTGATTTTTTTTCAAGATTCTTTGAATAGAAAGTTCAAAAGAGTGTCTTTACTGACATTTATGTAAAATATATTTATTGTCACTTTAGATTAACAATACATCCTTGCTGAATATAATTGAGTATACATATATAAATACAATCTCATGTTCATGCTGTTTGTTAACTAATTTATTACAGTAGTAATATTTTAAACATGTATCTTTTACACCCCCAAACCATCATTGAGATATTCTGCTGTGCCTGAGAGCAGGTATGGAGTCAGTGACCTGACTGATTTGGGAAGAGCAGATGCACAAATTACGAGTATGGGACTCCATAATTGACTACACGTCACTTTCACTTTTTAAAATGTCATTATGATGCCAAGACACCTTCTACTATTACAAAGAGTCCCTGTCATTGTGGCAAGTGGTAGAACATAAGCTAACCATATGGGATAGGAGTGAGAAAAAATAACTGACTTCTTACAAAGTGTATGTTATATGTCAAGTCCCAAATAACAAAAGTAACTGACTGTTCACAAATGCTTTTCCAAAAATCCATTTCAAATGGATTTTAAAACACATATGAATCAGATCAAATGTGCAAATTGGATTGCAGAACATTTTTTCTGCTCAGACTAAACAGCTAAACGGATTTGATGCACACAAAAAATAGATACTGCAGCCTGTCTGAACAAAATCAAATAGTGACTATAAAATGTGGAATTGTCCAACAGCTGCAGATGTTACTGAAAGCAAGAAAAATAAGAAGTTAACTTACAGATAAGGGGTGCATTTTTTCATCAAAGATGTCCAATGACTTATCGGAGTCCCTGAAATGGATTAATTAACATTTTTAAAATCACAGAACACATTTCACTTTTATAAGCAAAATATTATCAAAATGTATAGGTCAAATGATTTGCTTGTGGGAAAGAACATAATGAAACATACCTGTTTTTAATGTGATAATAAATTGCTAATGTGACACTGGAAACAGACAACAGAAAGGTGGTCAACATACAAACCAAAGCAAAATAAAACAAACAGTACTCTACCTTTTCATTTTGCTAATTATTTTTTTCATGCATCAATGGTCTGTACTCATTATATAACTAATTAATGTCAATATTTTACTATAAATGATAATGTAGAAATAGTTTAAAAAAATGGTGTAATAAAACTGAACTGACCATTTGATTGTGCTTTTCAGGTTGGGCTGACTAACAGTACTGTCATCAATGAATATCGTAGAGCAGGAGCTGTACTTCTTCGAAAGCAGACCAGGTGAGACCTTCAGAAAGAATGAACATTTAATACACTTACAACCATATAACCAAGCACAACCACAAAACAGACTCCATAACACATTCACTCACATGATTTATGTGATTGCTTTTCCTCCTGTCCCGTACTGAAAAAGAAAAAGGCAAGTTAAACATTTCATTATCAAATATTGACAAGCTGTGCCAGTAGCCATTTAGAAAGTGACCTTCCAGCTATTAAAGGTATGGTCAGGACGCTAGTTAATATGCAGCTGCTAACAAGGAAGTAAAATGAAATGATTAACTCATTAGATGACAATTATTAGAAACACTCACCATCCGTCTGTGACTTGCTAAGGAAGATCGTGCTGGCACGGGCATGATCTGATGGGTTGGAATCTAAAGCCAGATCTAGAAGACAGATAATCAATCAATCAATCAATCAATCAACAGCATATGGGCATCTAAGAATGGATGGTACATACTTGAATACCAATAAAATATAAAACTTTAAAATTGTTAACATTACTCTTATTATTTCTCATATACACTACCGTTTTTAGTTTTCAGCCGTTTTTGGGTTAATCTGATTCTCTAATGTTTTTGAGTCTTAGGCTTGGTCACAGACGGGGCTTAGACTAAGCCAGGACTAGGCAATAGTTCAATTAGGACATTTAAGTCATTTGTATTAATGTGCCTTAGAAAAAAACATTACTGGTGTGCATTTTGAGACAAGACAGAGGCACTGATATATTTTAAGATCAGTCAGTGCAAGTTTCTTTCAGTTAAAACAGCTCAGACTTACACTTAGTCTGGGACTAGGCTTAAGCCTTGTCTGTGAAACCGGGGGTTAATGTTTTAAGTCTCTTCTGCTTAACAAAGATGTATTTATTTGATCAAAAATACAGTAAAAACAGTAATATTATGAAATGTTTTTTTTTATAATTTGATTTTAAAAAAGTGTTTTCTATTTGAACATATTATAAAATGTAATTTATTCCTGTGGTGGAAAAGATGAATCAGCAGCCATTACTCCAGTCTTCAGTGTCACATGATCCTTCAGAAATCATTCTAATATACTGATATGGAGCTCAAGAAACATTTCTTATTATTAATAAGAATACTATTTTTTAAATGTCTTTACTGACACTTTAATGCATCCTTGGTGAATAAAAGTATTCATTCTTTCAAAAATAAACAATAAATAAATAAAAATCTTACAGCCCCCAAACTTTTGAACATTAGTGTTCTTTCAGTATAGCATCATATAACTTTCTAGTTTTCCTGTTCAATATATCTGCCCAATAACAAGGCAAATCCAAGAATACAATTTTAAAAAAGAAGCTACAAGTGCACTGGTGGTGACATGCATTCAATAAATATCAATCTTTACACTGAAACAACCCTCTAGAAGGGAGATAAAGTGGTATGTTGTCCTGCTCTGAGTGCTCTGATTGGCAGGGGCATGCTGTTACCCGCTCTGGCCACAGGAGTGAGAGGAGTGGGGGCACAATAAGCCTATTGTATGCGCACTGCAATAGAACAATGCGAGCTCACACCCTGAGCTCCGCCCATACCGCCATGTGCCACAGAAGCCAATCCAACGAATCAAAACAGACCTTACCACACTTTACAGCATGAGCACACATTACAAACCATAACAGAGTCTCCTGGGAAAGACACATATTCAACTGTACCAAAATGGCGTTTATGTTTGTAAATTGTGTAAGTCTGTAACCATCACCTGTAAAAACATTCTACCCAAAGTGCTGTTCAGAACATTAAGATTGAGGATTTTGCCCAGGTCACTTCATTAAAAGGTGTCTTCAGCAGCCACTGGAATTAAATGGAGATAGGGTCAAAAGATTTGTGCCAGTGCTGCTAGGTTGTATAGTAAACACACTCCAAGGAGATGTTTGGACAGCTGCAACCATGTCATGGGAGCTACAAAACTGGCAGGAGGTGAAGCGCAGTTCAGGATACCCAGCTTTGGATGATTCTACAGTCTATGGCCCTAAACATACTTTCACAATGGATCAAATGGCAAATCCTAATGCATGTAGTGTTCACAGCATTACCACAAGAGACGCTGTGCCTGCAAGTAGGCATTAGCCTACAATTTTCTTCTACTTCGAACTTTTCTGTTGCAGGTCAACAACTATGAAACAACAGTGTAAAGCAAGGTAGTTAAAGTTCATAAGATTGTAAGTTATAAATAGACTTTAGAACTAGCTACATGAAAACATATTGATTCTGTTTAGTGGCAAAGATATTTAAAGATAACTCTAGCAAAATGTGATTTGAAGATCCTATTCTTGCTGGAATTCACCTTCAGGTTAAAATATGGTCACTGAAAAGCGCAGATATTTTACAAAGGACTAGAGGTACATCCAAACACGTACTCTAATAAATGAAAACCTCAGAGGCAGATCTTGATATTTTTCTCCAACCCAAAAACTCACAGCCATTTCCTACCGGAGGATATGAATGGTAAAGCAGAGCGAGAATGACAAGTCCAGATGAGTTGGGCAAACCTGAAGACTTATTTCTCAACCGAACTCTTGTTGGGGCTGAGGCCCAGATTCCTTCCCCTGAGAAATCGATGGACATGGGTGAGAGAGAATGCTGACTGATAGGGAGGTACGGGAACGCATGGTGACAAGGCAGCTTTAGTCCAAGGGCGGCAAACTAGAGCCAATTTTATGTTCGCTAACTCAGTAATCAAATGCAAAGCTAACGTCACACTGCTGGCAAATACAAAACTGTTCTTTCTTAGTGGATCACACATAAAGATTAGACAAAAATCTTTAGGCTGTGTGTTATAGTGATTTTACTCCACCTCACTTGCATAAGTGCATACGAACACTCCTTAACTGTGGTAAAAGCCCTGTAATGACCTCCCATTAATTATTGCTTTAAAGGATTAGTTCAACAAAAACTACAAATTCTGTCATCATTTACTCACTCTCATGTTGCTCCAAACCTGTGTGACTTCTGTGGAAATACAGAATGAAAGACCAGTCGCTCTCTTTGTTTTGTATTTTAGTTTTTTATGAAATATCCATTTAGCATACATTACCTAAAGTTCAAGTTTTGGGGTCAGTAAGAATATTTAATGCTTTTAAAAGACATCAGTGCTCACTGAGGCTGCATTTATTGTTAGGAAATACTATAAAAACAGTAATATTTTGAAGTATTATTACAAGTGAAATAACTGTTTTATCTTATAATATACACCTGTATATATATATATATATGTATATATATATATATATATATATATATATATATTGTAATATGTTGTAATATATTTTAAAATGTAATTTTTTGCTGTGATTGCACATGAATTGTTTAGCAGCCATTACTCCAGTCTTCAGTGTCACATGATCCTTCAGAAATCATTCTATTATGCTGAATTGGTGCTCAAGAAACATTTATTATTATTATTATTATTATGTTGAAAACAGTTGTGCTGCTTAATATTTTTGTGGAAACAGTGATACAAAAGAACAGCATTTTTTTTATAGATTTTTTTGTAACAATGTAAATGTCTTTACTGTCACTTTGTAACAATTTAACGCATACTTGCTGAATACAATATGTACCTAAGGTATAAAAAGATTGGGAAACACTGGCATAACACACTAAACCCCAGAGGGAACAAAACATGCCTCGTGGAGATTCCCAACAAGAGAGCGAGATAAGAAGAGAATGCAGCTGTCCCAAGATCTACATCACTGGGATGCCAGGAATACTACACATTTTTGAGTCTCTGCCAATTAAACTTAGAATCGTTTTTATTTTCATGTTCAACAGAATTCCAAATGAACAAAAACCTAGAATCACAAAGGATTAACCGCAGCCATAGTGGTGGAGTTTACTCTGCTGTCATATGTGCTTTAAAAGATGAAGACATGTTGCTCTAAATACAGCACTGGAAGTTATTTGTGAGTGTGTGTGACTGACTATATGCATCTCCCCTGAGGGTAAAATAGCTCAGGCTAAATAAACAGCAGTAAAGACTACAAACAATCCCAAGAGGTATCACACACAGATCTCCATAAACCTTGTTTCTTTCAATAACATTATTAAGTGTAGCTGATTACTACAATATGCAATTGTTATTCAGAACGAAGTTGTCATAGGCCACCCACTTTCAGCGCAAACCAACAGCACTTAAATTGTTCAGCTCTAAACAGAAACCCGACCCATGAGACGAGGAGGTCAAGGCATCGGATCACAGCAGTAGAGTTCCTCAAGACGCAGTGGCACACAAATGTGGAAACACAAGTATAGAATAGAATAGAATAGAATTTTGTCATGACAGACCAACACTTGCAGGATTCAAACCTATATTTGGTTAAAGTTATAGATTTAGTTCTTAAATCTGGTTCTGGATAACCCCAAAACTGCACACTTTGGATGTCAACCTACTCGGACACATCCAGTTCAGACCTTGAAACTACTTCTAATAAACAGTAGCTATAAATCAAGGGTGCTTAGTTTTGTTAGGGGAGATTCACCTCGAAAGTTCATTTCCAACACCAGTTTGTATTATCAAGTAATGAGCTAGTTCAGATGTGTTTGAGCAGGGCTAGTCCAGAAGGTTGATTTCCACGAGTAGGACTGAGCGATCATGGTCTCGATCAGGGGTGTCAAACTCGATTCCTGGAGGGCCGGAGCACTGCAGTGTTTAGATTTAACGCTAATTAAACACATCTGGTCCAACTAATCAAGATTATTTGAAAACTACATGGTATGTGTGGTGGAACAAAACTCTGCAGGGCTCCAGCCCTCCTGGAATTGAGTTTGACACCCCTGGTACTAGAACTTACCATCAGGCACCTCTCGGTCACTGATGTGCTGCAAGTATGGACCGGTGTCATCGCTCAGGTCTGTGTTGATCTGATAGTCCTCCAGACGCTCCACCTGCCGGGATAGTTTGGGGCTTCCACTGGGGGACACGCAGCAGGACACTGTATTTCCCATGATGATACACAAAAGTATGTGTTCTACCTGATCAGGTGTGTTCGTCTAGGCTGCTTCTGTCATCAAATGTGAATCAATGGATCCAACGAATGAACTCAAGCTAAATGAAGGTGCATGAAAGGCTGAAATGGACACACGGAGTCAGCATTTACTGCTGTGCTGTCTTGCTGCTCCAGACTCAAGAGGTATTTTACTGTCTGTGCCAGTCATATAACGGGACTCCATGTATTTAGAGACAGTGAGACAGAAGACCTACGGCTTTAACATCCGAGTAATCAATACAACCGGATATAAAACCGGTGACTGACAGCATATCACTAGAAAATATCGGTCGGAGATCATTGAATACAGATTTGTTCTTTTAAATTAACAGCACATGCTAACTGCTAACGGCTAATATTGATTCATTGTGAATAAGCGCGTTATTAGCCACCGTGCTAACTGAAATAAACCATCCCTTTAACTCTGATTTAAATGTCCGAATGTGTCCTAAATTAAGCCGGTTTGGCGGTTCAAATCGGGAACAGACTTCCAAGCATTTATCCGTCATGTATAGGGCAGATCTGTGTGTCGGATGAAACTCTGGATCCAATAATCACTCAAATCCTCAGGCCTTCGGGCCCGTAGCGAGATAAAATGAGGCTTTTAACGCAGCAGATGAATAAAGTCCTGTCCCGTTTACATGCGCCTAATTCAAACTCCGGTTTGTTTGGCGTTATTAGATTATGTCCACCGAGTCTCGTCGGAGAATCCCCTCGCTATCCCCTCCTCCTCGCCGGCCAGTGCAGCAGCAGCAGCGATCCACTCCCCGCCACCACCGCCATCTGCTCCGAATGACGCAGGTAAGAGCCCGCCCCTTTTCGACAATCCATCAATTACGATTGGATGAGCTACCAAAACAAAATAAAGATCTGTTCAAGAATTGGTTATTGTAACTGTCAATCACGCTAGCTAACGATTTAAACACCGCCCATTTACACCTCTTTGTGAATAGAGTGAAATTGAACACTAGCGTACTGCACAGTGGATCCTGTACAGTGCCTACAATTCTTTTGTGAAATAGTACAAACTATGTAATGATAAACATTTCAAACAGTATGTTTAACTCAACAAATGGTGTCCAAATTAGTGCTCTGCATTTAACCCATCCAAAGTGCACACACACAGCAGTGAACACATACACACACCCCCGGAGCAGTGGCAGCTATTTATGCTGCGGCGCCCGGGTAGCAGTTGGGGGTTCGGTGTTTTTACAACAGTAAACAAACCTTAAATACCAATAAAACACAATTTGTGTGTGTCTGTGTGTGTGTGTGTGTGCGCGCGCGTGTTTTTGTGACAAATGAGGACATACATTTGTATAATGACAAAGGTATGACATAGGTATTACAACGAGAAGGTTATTTATGAGGACATTTTCAGAGTCCCCGTAATTCAAAAGGCTTATAAATAATTCAGAATGAGTTTTTTTGAAAATCTAAAAATGCAGAAAGTTTCCTGTGAGGGGTAGGTTTAGGGGTAGGGATGGTGTAGGGCAATAGAAAATACGGTTTGTACAGTATAAAAACCATTATGCCTATGGAGAGTCCCCATAAACCATAAAAACAAACCTGTGTGTGTGTGTGTGTGTGCGCGTGAGTGCATGCGTGTGTGTGTATATACATATGGAGTGGCCTTGTTTGCCACTCCAATTCAAGAATGACATTATTATAAAATTTTAATCAAATTTTGCTAAAAATAAATGTCAAATCTTGGAATATATCTACCAAATTAACATTCATTCATATATAATCACTTACATTAACCCAAAATGTTCTGTTTATTTTATATATACTGTATATATATATAAAATAAACGGAACATTTTGGGTTAATATAATGCTATATATAATAAACACATATTCACGGGTCTCATGCAGCTCCCTACAGTATTTACTTTGAAACCATTTTCATTCAGAAATTGCTAGTACATTTCTCAAATAATTACAAGGGAATGGCAGGTAAAACATTCAATTAAACGTGCAATTTTAAAGTAAAAAGACTGAAATGGTATTTTCTTGTAAAACATATTCCAATAACCTTTGTTTTATTTACAGCTTTGAAAAATCATTTTTTACTTGAGCATGGTGAAGTTGTGCATTGCATTGCACGGTATTTCCAACCACAACACCCAGTGTGCAGTATTAGTATTTTATTAAAGATTTACATTTGTGTACAAAAGAGAGGTGGGGGAAACAACATGAAGTTTATACAATTGTATTGTAATAGTAATAAGAGTGCAAAGCTTCTAAAAATGTAAGTCAAGTCACAGAGTATATACAATACACTTCTAAACTTTTGAAACACTATAAAATCCTACCAGTGCTGTACATAGTGTCCAAAAGGTGAACGCTATCATACAAAAAGTGCATGATGTGTTTGTCCAAAATGAGTGGGATCAAACATTGCTTTAGATTGATTGTTTTTTTTTGAATGGATGGAGACAAACACACATAGTAGAATATTTCAGAGTTCACTTTGGCCAGCATGGTAGTAGGTCAATCTCACTGCATATGGGGTACATACAAGAGGAAAAAAGTTACTACCAGTTCAGGAAAATGAATAAAGATTCAATCATGGAAAACAGACAGAATTTGCATTTCTCTGAAAGCTGAGGTCAGTCTGTCCTTCGATGAACCAATTCAGTGTCAGAAAATAATTGGTTTTGCGAGGGAAGTCAGGTTGCATGTCAGCTTGCATAAGCAGTTAGACTGCAGATCTGGACCGTGAGCGCCTGTTGTGGAGAGATTGCTTCCCTAATTTGTCACGCCTGAATGCGTAAATGACACGTCAGGCAGACTGCTACTCGAAGTTTAGGAGTAGCAGCAGATGATGCACTTACTAACAGATGACAAGGGTACTTTTCCGTACAGACTGGAATTGTTGATGGGCATTTTTAATTCATAGTCTGTTAACATCTCATTTAAAACTTTCTGTCCTCAATACAAAGTATATGCAAAATGTCATACTACAACCAACATTTAATTGACAGATTTCTTTTTTTAATAATTATTCATCAAGAACTTTAAAAGCCTTAAACATTTTGGGTCAACTGGAGCAACTTTGTAAACAAAATACAACTTTTGTTGAAGGCAAACCGTAACAAGTTACCAGCTGTTCAGTTGTTTCTTGAACTTTCAGAAGCAACTGAAAGAATGTGGACAAAGGAAAAATGAAACCAAGAGAAATCTTTATATATATATATGAAATAGCTGCCAAAAATGCATATGCTATAATAGATAACATGTACTCTTTACTTATGTTATCATCACATTATCAAATACAAAGACACTGCGTCCCAGTTGTTAGTGTTGAAATGAAAAACTGACCATATAACGATATCAAAGCTAATGTAATATTTATAAAACATGCTTTAGTTTATAATACCAGAGACTGAATGTATTGGATTGTATTTCATCCAATTATAGCTCTATGATATACAAGCATAACACACGAGTGATCTGCTGAATATAATCAACATAAAAGTGAAGAAATGTTTCAACCTGAAAAATATATATCAAATTCACTTCTGTGGGTAATTCCTGACATTGTAATGTGAATTTTGGTGTATAAGTGACCAAATGTTTGCAATATTATAACCATTTTATATTGTGCATGTGCAACTGTTGCTACTGCAATGGCAGTTTTTAATGAAATTAAATGATTTAGGTACATTTTTGCCATTGAAATATACATGGGCTATAATCTTGTTCTGTATATGATACACAATATTTCTGTTTATCAATATTCATCATTTTATATAGTTTGTTCATATTTAAAGGTAAAAATGTCAACTTAAAACACAAGAGCACTATACACCAAATAAAAGTAACGGTCAGACACGTTAAACCTTTAGAATCTCAAGAGGGAATGATGCCAACTCCAAAGCAAAATCTTTCTCGATGCCTACCATGCTATTGAAATGTCAGTTAAATTATTATTATTGTACATTATTTGTATCTCTTTTAAAAGTTATGGACGTATTATACACCAGCACACTGGAAAAAAGGTAAACATTTTCCCACAAACCCCTCCTCTGAGTTTCGGTTTGAGTCCAGGAGTAAAGATGCCTGAGAACGTACTTGAGTGTTTATGTCCACAGTACATTTCTCAGCATTTTTTTTTGTCTTTAATGACATGATCCAATATTTCTAGAGGAGATTTGTGTTGACCCGGGGGCTTCTGTTCAGTTCCCTCACATACTTGTGTGTTCATACAGGCAGTCTGCAGCAATTTAAAAAAAGAAAACATTTCGAAAACATGCGTCCGTGACTCGCCCTTTAGTCTCGTAAGTCTGCCAGAATGAAGGGAGAACGGGTGGTACGTCACTCTGATTTGTGACAGTACAGGTCTTTGAGTGCTTTGAGCTCCTCGATGAGAGTTTTGTTCTGGTTCTCCAAAACGGCCACACGGTTCTCCAGACACTTGACATATTCCTTTTTCTTTCGACGGCACTCACGAGCAGCCTCTCTGGTGGGGAAAAGAAATTTGAGATCTACTTAGCAAAACCTTTTTGGTCCAAAATAGGGCTGTCAAAAACCAGTGAAATTCCACGATTCTCTGTTACAGCAAAAATGCACTATTGAACATCTCTTTATATAAAGATATTATACTCCACATGCCTTTTGTTTTCAGATAAATGTTGTTATATATATATATATATATATATATATATATTTATTAAACTAATTTACACTAAACAATTATAATTACATGTATCCTTCAGGTATCGTCTCATTTTTTGTCCATGTTTTATGTTTATTATATTATTTGATGAATATCAAATATTTAGACAAAGTCTAATGCGCAGATTCAGTATTTTGACAATCTGATTTTTTTTTGTCATTGTTTTGTCCCCCTGTTCACATGAGACTGGCTATATTTACATTGTCTCACATACATCTGTCAAACAGCTCTCGAGTATTGAAATTAGTCAGTAATCTGTACTGCTTTTAAAGGATTAGTTCACTTCCAGAATAAACATTTCCTGATGATTTTCTCACCCCCATGTCATCCAAGATGTTCATGTCTTTGTCTTTTGTCACAAAGAAATTAAGGTTTTTGAGCAAAACATTCCAGGATTTTTCTCCATATAATAGACTTCAGTGGGAACCAACGGGCTGAAGGTCCAAATTGCAGTTTCAGTGCAGCTTCAAAGGGCTCTACACGATCCCAGCAGAGGAATAAGGGTCTTATCTAGCCAAACCATCTGTTGTATTTTCTAAAAAAAAATAAACATTTATATATTTTTTAACCACAAATGCTCATCTTGCTTTAGCTTTGCTTGTGCATGTGCGTCTTCACATATTATGTAATCCCGTTGGAAAGGTCAAGTGCGGTTAGCTCTTCGTCTGTGTACTCCGGTTCAGAAAGGTAGGGTAGGGCGAAAAACTCCATCTCATTTTCTCCTCCAACCTCCAAAATCGTCCGACATCGTTGTTTTACCTTTTTTTGGTAAAGGGTGCTTGACTTTCTTTGCACGTTCGCTTTGCAAACACTGGGTTGGTGCTTCCGCCTTGCAACGTGATTACGTAATGCGTGAGGTCGAGCTAGTGCAAGATGAGCATTTGTGGTTAAAAAGTATATATATTTTTTTTTTTTAGAAAATGACTGGTCGTAAATGTTTTATTTATTTACTTTTTTTTTGAAAATGCAACGGATGGTTTGGCTAGATAAGACCCTTATTCCTCTGCTGGGATCGTGTAGAGCCCTTTGAAGCTGCACTGAAACTGCAATTTGGACCTTCAGCCCGTTGGTTCCCACTGAAGTCCATTATATGGAGAAAAATCCTGAAATGTTTTCCTCAAAAACCTTAATTTCTTAGCGACTGAAGACAGAAAGACATGAACATCTCGGATGACATGGGGGGGTGAGTGAATTATCAGGAAATTTTTATTCTGGAAGTGAACTGGGGGAAAAAAGCACTGTTTCTACAAAAAATATTAAGCAGCACAACCGTTTTCAACTGATGAAAATGGATAAAAATCCAGAGTTCGAGTCCCAGCTTGTGGACCTTTTCCGATCTTGTCCCCCCCTCTCTCTCTCCCACTTCGCTTCCTGTCTACAATACTGTCCTATCCTAATAAAAGGCTAAAATGGCAAAAATAAATCTTTAAAAAAGTAATAAAATCAAAAAGTTCACAATGTTTTTTGTTTTTTTTCAAATAAATGCAACCTTGGTGCGCAAAAGACACTTAATTAAAAAATGTAACAAAAATCTTAACAACCCCAAATGGTAATGTACATATGTGAGAGTATTTACAGGCACAGAATGTATGACCATAAGTGATAAGGCTGACTTTACGTTGTTTACTTTTACCAAAAACTTGATTTGGTTTTTACCTGTTCTTCATGAGGCGGACCTCCCTCTTGCGCGTGACCTCTTCAGCACCTCCTTGACTTGGCAGGGCCGGAGAGGATGCCATGACCACACCTGGAGCAATAGTGCTGGTTTGGGCAGTACGAATTTGATAGGCCTGAACATCTCCAGAAGCAGCTTTAGGGTAGACAAAACGCAGCCAACAAACAATGAATGAAAATTTTGAATTAAAGCATAGAATACAGATGGATACCTTTAACTTGCAACAGGCCAGACAGTAGGGCAAAAAGTTAAAAACAATATCATAATTGATACTATTTACTTACTTAAGCAATGTTTGTATCCTTAAAACTGGATTGTATCTTTAGTCTGTTTCGAACAGTAATTGTTTCTCATGGGGACGTAAGCTATTTTCAACATTTACAGGGGTTAGTTTGTGATTTTATTGCTATCCGAATCCAGAACGTCTGTGTTTTTAACAACGTAAAAATCCCTGGCCAAATTACCTACGGTTTTTTGACAAAAACTTAAGGTTGTGTGGTAATTTAATTGCCATCTGAATCCACATCTTTTCAAAAAGAAATCAATTCAAGATTCCCTGTTAAAACTGGCAAATACCGTATGGTAACTGTAGTGCTTTGCTGTAATTCGCATGCATATTTATTACTGAAACTGCTGAAAAGTATTTACAAAAACAATATTTCATAACTGCTCCACCACAGCGAGTGGGAGCTGTTAAAAACAAAAAGAAGAAAGAGAAGAAAAGCATTTGAAATGGGTCATTATTATGGCTGGTATGCAATACAAGTTTAAAATATTTATTATATACAGTCGTATACATAAAAATATAAACCAAGCAGCTTTATGTTTACCTTATGTAAATAAGAGGTTGCATTAACTTTCTGCAAATTTTTTAATGACATCCATCATTTTGAGAGATAAAATTAAAGACAGAAAACCATTTCAACTATAACATGTCTATTTTCCTATTTTTAAACAGGAGATTTAAATAAACAATAAATAAGATATTATTAAATATGAATTTATTCTTATTATTCCAAGCATATGACATTTTATATACAGCAGACAATCATGCGACTGGCCACGTGAGCAGCGTGGTTCCGGGTGAATAAACTGCCATCCGAATCCATGAGTTTTATCACTGAGGTGCCATGTAAATTTATATTTACAGAGGTTCACATGAAAAAATCAGGGGAAAATAGTCCAGCTCACCTTGTACCACCACTTGATTGCTGGGCACCAGTATTTGTTGACCGTCACTGGTCTGGGCGTACTGCAGGATGGTGGTCCCCGGCTGGGCTGCTGCTGCATTGGTCATGGTGAGAGTCTGCAATCCCTGCATTCCATCTGTGCCATTATTCGCAAGCTGAATGGCTCCACCCTGTGTAATGGCGACTGAAGAAGAAACAGCAATCAAGAGGTTGTCATTGATTTGGTGAGAAGCTGTGCACATGGAACTATATGTTTAAGATCCAAATATGTTGGGAGTTGTGGTCTTAAAGTGCTCCTGACATGTTGAGCTGTGATTATAAAGTGGGAGGTGCAGGTTTGAATCTCAAAATATCTCAAAACTTCAGTCATGGACTTACTGTACTGGCCACTGCTGGTCTGATATATTGGGGTTGGCACGGTCACTGTAGTGATGGCAGGCGCAGTGTCCTCCTCGGATTTCTCCTCTTCAATTCTCGGAACTCCTGGAGCGTCTGATGATAGGTCATTCAGGATTTTCCTATAAATCACAGACAGCTGTTGACTTGAAAATTTCCTTACGTAAAACCATTGAAGAACGTATACATACCTATACGAGGGGCGTCTAGAAAGAATCTCTCTTCGTTTTCGAGAGTCAGTCACGCTGTCCACTGATTCCTGCGAGTCCTCACTCTCTGCTACTGTGGAAATCTGATCAACAGACAATTGTCATATTTAGATTTGCCTATATGGTAGGGATGCACAATATTATTGCACCAATATAGTAATCGGCCGATAATATCGGCATCGGCCCGATATGAAAATATATGCCGATATGTCTTGCAGATAAGATGAATACATTAACCCACATGTGCTCAGGGTGTGCTAGCGATTAGATCACGTCAGCAGTGTGGCTCATTCTTGAAGCAAAGTTTTGCCCAAATGATGATTAGATTCACTGTTTTGGATCGCTGCATTTAAACTGAGAATGCACGTACAGAATGACACATTCGGTGTATGATAGAGTAAACCGTAATAGCACGTGCAGTGGCAGCCTCCCCCGGGTCCTAATGCTTGCTCAGTAAGGAGTTTTAATTCCGTAGGGGGTGCTGTTGGCCTACTTCTAATAAAATTAAAGCAAAATACACAAAATAATATTTAGACTGTGTTTCTGATTAAATAAAGCAGTAATTGATGCCATAAAATCATGAGTATGTTTTGATTTAAAGTTCAGAAGCTATAGCTTACAAAACAACAAAAAAACAAAACAAACATGTCTCTTAAATTAAATTATTTTATATATACTGATTTATTCATTAATGTGTAATATGTTGTGCATGTGTAAGATTTTCAGAATTTTTACAACTCTTGCTTTAGACCATTAACAAATGTTAAATCTTAAAATAAAATATTAAGGTTACCACTGCATCCTTCTGAAAAAAAAAAATGCAGCGATTGAATATATAGTTATTTTCAAATCTTCAATGTACTGTCATTACAAAAGACCTTCATTGTTGTTTATTTAATTCTAGCAAATAAGTTCTTGTTAAAAACTAACCAAAATTAAAAAATAATTTGCTTATAATTTCTGCACAGGAGAGACTTGGTGTTGTTTCCAAACAAAAGGAAATATATCGGTATCGGCATCGGCCAAAATGAGTTGAAAAATATCGGCATATCGGATATCAGCAAAAATCCAATATCGTGCATCCCTACTATATGGCACAAATTTCCCATAATTGCCTGTTAAGAGAATCACGTGAGGTGAACGGAATACATCAAGGATGAAATGCATCTTGTCACCTGATAATCAGTCATAAACATGTAGAGATGTTGGAAGTGTTCATTTGTCTTACCTGGACAGTCTGCACCTGTGGCGACTGAATGACTGAAGGTTGAGCAGCCTGAATCACTCCGTGTACCTGCACCGTCTGACCATTGGGCAGCTGCACCAGGGTGAATGTGGGCGCTGTGGCACTAGCGTGTCCGGCAGCCATTGTTACCTATCCAACATCACACATACATTCAAACACAGTCATCCTGTCTCTAATGTCCGACTCTTGATTGAACGTTTTAGCTCTTCATGTTTCAAAATAAAACGTTAAGCCCTGAATTATTTTGTCGTACTGTATAGTAAACAATCGATTGTGTTCCTACCTGTGCAAGAGTGGCGAACTGGGCCTGTGTGATCTGTTGGTTCTCAGTTTCAGAGACTGCAGTGTCTGCACCCTGCTGGGCATCGGCTCCCGACTCCATGGTCATTGAGTTAGCTGGTAAAAAACAGGATGGAAATTACAACATATTGAGTTTACATTTTTGACACAGGTACAAAGAAACAAATAGCCATTTTGAAGTACACAAGAATAATCTAGATAACAAGCAAATGCTGACAATGTTACATATTTAGTATTTTTTTTAATCATCATACATTCCTATATCATGTCATCCCACTGTAACATTTCTTTAAGTGCTCCTTTTATATATTGCATAAAACCCAGTGAAATTGGTAGAATAAAACCAAAGTATGCACAGCATGTCAAAAACCTCATTATCATTAGAAAAATTTCATCACTGACTCTAAACCTGTATGAGTTTCTTTCTTCAGCTGAACACACACACACACACACATACACACACACCATTAAAGAATGTTAGTAACCAAACAGTTGCTGGTAGCCTTTCACTTCCATGGTGTTTTTTTCTCCCTCTATCGAAGTCAATAGCTGCCAGTAACTGTTTGGTTACCCTCATTCTTCAAAATATATTTTTCTGTGCTCAACAGAAGAAAAAAACTCATACAGGTTTGGAACAACATGAGAGTGAGTAAATGACAAAATTGCCATTTTTGGGTGAACTACCTTAACCTTTAACATCCTAAAACACTTCTTATATGATCTTAAAGTCAGTATGAACGAGAAATTACAACCAACATTTTGACGTGTATGCTAGTGTAATTCTTGAACAAGAAAAAAAAATCTTGATTTTGCCCATTGGGAATTTATTCCATTGTTGTCATTTGCTAATTGCTGCGATTGTTTCATGTGAGCAACATCTTGCTGGAGAGGAGAGATTGGAATGGAGAGATAAGAATGTTCAAATAATGATGATAATAAATCAATTTAAAATAATAAAGATAATACTGATGATAATAATAATTTGAATAAATACTGCAATAATCTATACAAAAATAAGAAATCTGATTTCACGGTGACTTGAATTACATAAACGATTAATATATGTTAAGTAAGTTCATTCCTCTTTATCAACACTACTTTCAGTCTCAACCTGTAACTTTGGATCTGGCATTGCAGATGAAGTGTACATACCTATAAGTGGGAAACCCAGACAAAATCTTCACACCGTCCACTGACTCTGGTAAGTCTTCACTCTCTGCTACTGCAGAAATCTGATCAGACAGACACCAAAAAATTTCACTATACTAGGCAGTAACTTTGACATTTCTACTTTGAAATCATCCTCCATAGTACTGAGGAAATACTGAGAAAAAACTTCTACAAACACTGTTGTTGGTATACAGTATCTGGCAAAAAGTATCATCAAAACGTGACATTAAAGCTATAATTCACCAAAATGAAAATTCTGTCATCATTTACTCACCCTCAAGTTGTTCCAAACCTGTACAAGTTTCTTTCTTGAACATAAAAGATGGGTAGAATATGGGTAGCTAACTGTTGATGGTCCCCACTGACTCCCATAGTATGGTAAAGAAAAAGAAGAAGAAAGACATTCATACAGGTTTGGAACAACTTGAGGGTGAGTAAATGACCATCTCAAATGTGTAATTGTTGCATTTACAAAAATGCTTTAATCTATTCCAGCTTAATATACAGAAGTGATTAGCAGGTTGATTCCCAAGTAAAGTATAAAGTCTATGGCTCAGTTGCAGCCCTTTGTACAAGTAATGTCAGATTAGACAGAGTTCCTTTTTTTTCTTGTCACTGTGACTTCTATAAATGAATGTACATTAAGTTTGATGTAAGTACCAGTGTGTCACGGCATCCTGGTGCCATCACATTCATTGCAATTCTATAAGAATCACTGCATCTAAGCCAGTGGTATTGTAATGCTACTTGGTACTGTAATCTAGTTTAGCTGGTATAATATTGTAACATGATAAAAGATACGAAAACCCAAGCCAAACAAAGTTAAATATCCACTAAAATGTTTTGTCCAGGTTTATAAGACAAGCAAATGAAAATGAAGCTCTAGACTTTCTTGGAAAAGGAAGCTAATTTTAGAATATACAAATATAGCCATACATTAGTTACGTATGGCTAAATCGTTCATGTGCTGCAACTCTATACAGAGTTTTAATTGAATTATTTGACATTGCTTCGGAAATAAGGGCGCAAATTTCCTGCACTCAAGACGAGCACAGTAATAAATCAATACAATGGCTGTTTGGTCTAAAAACTGAGACTGCAACATTTGCATGTCCATTGATAAACGTTCTTCCCAGAAACTGTTCTTGTCCAGGGAAGAAACTGCATCAAATATGTCTTGTCTTCATTTAAAGTTACTAAATTTAAGATATACGGAAACAAACTGCTGAATCCTTGCTGAACATGTTTATGCTCAGGATTCAGTGAGCTCTGACCTTTGATGCTTTAGCACAGAATACTGGCAGGTCTCTCTGGAAACATACGCCTACTACATACGTCACACTAAGAGATGCGATGCATTGCAGTGCATAGCAGAAATTAATCTAAATCCCAGTGTGAATTTAAAATGTTTGTAAGTTCTCATTAAATAAAGACCAGTGTGCAACCCCAAGGTGCTCTGAAAATCTTTATTTCTGCATTGGTCTACTACAATAACATCTAATATTAGAGTGTAAAATTACTAGTGCACTGCCCACTGCCCAGTGATAAAAATTAAGTACTGCAATAAAGGTGTCGTCATATAGCTTTTTTTTATTATTATTGAAAGTGCATCACAATATGCTGTGATTGCAGTCCTGACTTCCCTTGACTGTTCAGCGTTTGTAGATTTTGGAGTGTCTGACCTCTAGGCCTCTTCCTCTGGGGAGGAAGAGTTGGATTAAGCTAGGTTTTCATAAATGAACCTGTGACCGGCTTCAGCATAGCAAGAAAAAAAAGAAGCAATTTTCAATTACTAAAAAAAAAAAAAAGATTTGCAAAAATAGTTTAAATGGGTTTCTAGAATGGTGAAATTATACTCATCTGCTTTATTAATAATAATAATCACCTTAAACCATACTAAATGTGTGTACCATAATGCTAGTATGATAATTAAAATATCATATAATAATGATTTGTGATAATAGGAATATAAAATGATAAAATGAATATATTAGAAATAACAGTTTTATTACCATTAGTGGCTGTTTTTAATTGTGTGTGAAACAATAAGGTCAATAGAGCACTTTGAAACAGAATAATACGAGAAAGGGAGAGAGAGAGAGCAAGCTCCAGCATGGTAGAAAGCATGAACTGACAGTAATGTGATCTCATGACGCTCAGAGTCTTTCTGTGGTGTGATTGGTCATGCATAGTTCTCCCTCTACTTTTCAAATCCTATTTTCTGCTAGACAGATTATTCTAGGAAACATGTAGCTGTTGTGCATTTATAGATCTTTACATCTAAAACTATAAGCATGCATCCAAATGACAGCCTACAGATGTTAAACGACTTATTTGCTTTTTGTTTGTTTGTTTGTACTGTGGAACAGATCATGAGTAATGCCTTAAACTTCATAATCAAATTGACTTGCATTTGAATAGGTTTGTGCAATTTAATAACCAAGTATGCAATACAATACTGCATTTATTAGTCACGTGCAATGTACAGAAGGTAAAAAGTATTCTATACTATATATAAAAAATGTATTTGCTTGAGGGTGCGCAATCACAGCTCACAGAATAGTACATAATGAAACAGTGCTATAATAACCCAGTCCTAAAGGATCAGGGTGGGTACAATAAATCGCACAATGCATCAAGGACATCAGAGAAGATTAAATTATTCCTGAATGATATAAGAGTATTACACCCTGAATCCACCCAGGAGCACACATTTTGTCTAGCCAGCGTGTGAAAGAAGCCAACAAGAAAGGGGAAAACCCACATATATGATCTGCACAGATGCATAGAGAACACCAGAGGTTATACATCCATATTTCCTTGCATTTCAAATGATCAGCCATGCATCAAGATTTTCCCACCCTGGGTTTGTGTTGCTCTCCCGTTTGCCTCCCCTCCCTCTGCATGCAACAACTACAGCCGCCATGATCTCTTTGTTTGCAACGGGCCGAACCCAAACCAGATTCTTATGCTATTCGGGACGAGCCCTTTCCCTCCGGACACTTGTCTCCTCTTACCGATACAGACTCCCTCCGTCACTCTCGAGCCCTCGGAGCTCCACTTTTATTCAGGCCGACACGTAAGAGACCGCGTCAGGCTACACCTCCGTCGCGTCACCGAGAGCAACAACACAGAGAACGAGACGAAAATCCGATCATCAACCGCACTGCACTGAGCGAGAGCTGCCGACAGCGTGGCGGAAAAAGTCGAGTGGTGACGGATATAGACGAAGCGCTGCCGAAGCTTAACGAAATAGTGCGAATACGACATACTTGCGCAAGACTGCTAAATGAACCTCGGCAAATGTTTTTAAAACGGAACATTGGTTAGCATACTTAGAAATACCAAATTAATATGAAAATATAAAAACCAGTCTTACAGCTTGGCTAAGCTGGTTCCAACTGGTTAACTGGTAGGCCATTCCAGTGTGACCGACTGTGCCCTAAACTCCTTTCAAACCAGCCAAAAGACCAGCTTGGAGCTGGAACCACCAGCAAACCAACTTATGCTGGTTTGAGCTGTTATTTTCACCAAAGAGATTTCATCAGAAAGCTTTAACAGTGTAGACTATCTCTATCTGTAATCCATCATATGCGCAAAATATTGCAAAACGTCATGTTCATCAATTAATAATTAATTCAACATAAATGATCAAGACAGAAAAGACAAATCACCCCTATTATTAGCACTATGGTCAACTTCAGCTTTTCCAAATGAATATGCAGAAGGCTGGCAAACACACTGTCATTGTAGAAGAGGGAGATATACAATTGTGTTAAATTACTTTTACAATATTCTTATTAAATGACTATGTGAAATGTATCAAGGACAGAAAAATATTATTGTAATTTCTCTTCTACATAATAGGAGAACATGAAAATCAGTGACTTCTGGAGCCACAGTGCAGAGTTAATAACAACAACAACAACAAAAATATTCCTGCTCATTTAGTGAAACACTCAACATGAAATAAAACCTCCAAACTCCAAAACTAGAAACAGCAATTACATTCAAATTGAATTCTGATGGTAGTCGATAAAGAACTGTATAGAGTCCATTGTTTTGTTTGTATTGTTTGTATATGATGTTGATTCAATTTAATAGATTGCATTTTGACCTAAATGGACGACTCAATGTTTTTATGATGTTGGAAAAATGCATGCTCTCATTAAGCTAAAAAAGAGAGAAAAAAGGATGCCCTAATGAAGCTAAAAAAAGGGGCAAATATTGTCCTTTAATTAAAAAAAGTTCATTTCTAACGCTGCAGGTGCTCAAATAAAAGGTATCAATATACACTACAGACAATATACAATAGGCTCAGCATGCAATATAGACATACTCTATATACACAATACACAGAGTATTCACAAAATGACAAGCTGCAAAAAAAAAGTATTTCAGCCTTTTTGCCCACAGCAGAACATTTGCCAAACAAAATGAACCAGTGATGTTGCTAGTTATTCCACACAAGTTTGTAATGCTCATACTGGCCATTTTGAGTCTCCTCAGGAAGTATTGGGCCTTATTCAACATAAGGAGGAGGAGTGGGCACTGGACACCTCCTGAAGTCTAAAATTACTTCTTGGGTTTTACTCATATTAAGAGATAAATTGTTATTGCTTCACCACAGCACAAAGTTTTGTTGCTTCATCTCAATTTGTCAATGTATGACTTGAGAAGGGCAGCATTTCAAATTGTATTATTATTACAAAGTTAAATATAATAGAGAATATTTTTATATAATCTTTCATCGGTATGTGTATTATGTATTTAATAATAAGGAAATATTTATTTGTTTATTTCACATAAGAGGAATTCATAGAAAGACAATTACATTCTCTGAATTTCTCTTATGTGAAATGTGCCAAATTCTCCTGTGATATACACCAAAATCAATAAAAGAATTTGCTCCGTTATCACAATGCCAGCACGTTAAAATTGCCCACGTCGTGCACGCCGCTCGGCCCCTATGATACGGAGGCAATGGCAGCTGCTATTGAAAACATAAATCTAGAAGAAAGGATCTTTTGTAAAGCTATTCTCACTTTCTAATGAAAGTGCACATTGTATGTAACCTGTTTTGTTTTTTTCACAATATGTGAAATTATCTTTACGAGGCTACGTGGGCTGACAGTAGACCTATAGAGTGATGATAAAGGGAAACTCCTGTGATATACACCAAAATCAATAAAAGAATTTGCTCCGTTATCACAACGCCAGCACGTTAAAATTGCCCACGTCGTGCACGCCGCTCTGCCCCTATGATACGGAGGCAATGGCAGCTGCTATTGAAAACACCAATCTAGAAGAAAGGATCTTTTGTAAAGCTATTCTCACTTTCTAATGAAAGTGCACATTGTATGTAACCTGTTTTTTTTTTTTTCAGTTTTTGTATAACTGTTCCAATGTGTATTAGGTTGACCTTGAAAAAGAACTACATTCAGAGTTGGCCATAGAGACTCTCTCTTCCCCTCCTCCTCCCTCCTCCACCTTCTTCTCTCCTTTGAGCTCCTGCTGCGCATCATCCCTCGAGTGAACGCACACTCTCGCTCAGTCTCTTGTCTGAGTCTGGCACGGTTGTATCTCTTCTCAGCCTAAGAGGACCCATTAGGATAAGCAGGACTTGAATTTGGGGAACTGTTCCATTGATGCTGCAGTGAAGGTGCTCAAGGTCAAAAATAAATAAATAAATACATTTAAAAAATTTAAAAAGAAAGAGAGCCTGAATAAAAAAAATACGGGATACATTAAAGCCTTTTCAATACTGGAAACCCTGCACATCACTAAATTAAAATTCATCAAACGTCATCAGAGGAAACAAAGAAGCCAGTGGCTAGTTGTGCTACATTTGTGATGGGAGCCGTACATGGCTTCAAACACTGCTGCTCGGTCTGTGATTCGTAAAGTTGTGTTAACGAAAAGTGAACAAATTAAATCTGTGATCATCCTATTTGCATCTTATAGAAAATTCTCTTCAATATAGTAATTCAAAAAGAATCTGAAAAAATGCTAATGTGTTTTGCACTTAATGGCCTATCGTTGGAATTACAGATTGGGTTTTATTCACTGATTTATTTTCAACTAATTATGCAACCCAAACAATTCGAGGAAACAAGACTGAGCTCTCCCAGTCGAGCTGCAAGCCACACTGCATGGTGATTTAACACAGACTTGTGGAAGGTAATAACAGCTCCGAGTCAGGGTCAGAAATGAACTTTTCTGTTAAGGGGTGATCTTTTCCTTTCAGGGGCTTTTTATATACTCTTAAAAATAAAGAATCTGTGGTTCCATTAAGAAACTTGAACATCCATGGAACCTTTCTATTGCACAAAAGGTTCTTTAGTGCAAAATGGTTATTCAATTATTAAAATGTTCTTCACACTAAAATAAAAATTGTTATTTAGAACCGTTGGGGAACCAAAAATGGTTCTTCTAATCTATGGCATAGCTGTGTAAACCTCCTTTTGCAACCTATTATATACAATTAAATCGTGAACTCAACATATTGTTGCAAATGTATCAATAAATTAATTTAATGAAGAGTGCCAAAATTGTTTGCTAGGGTGTTTGATAATGTACTATAGATGGTCATTAAGGTGTCTCTAAGGAATTCTGAATGGTTGCTAGAAGTGTTCCTTGTGGTTCTACCATCTAGGCCAAAAATAGAATATAAAGTCTATAAATGTTACAAATAAAATCAGATGAATTCATTACTGTGACATTCTTGTCACTTTCTGTGGCATTTGTTTTCAAGGGTCCTCTTAATTTCTGACCCTGCTCTGTATACACAAATGAGATTTTTTTCCATGTGCACACAGTAGAATCACTAAAAAATGATAATTAAAAAGATGTAATGTTTTTTACATCATAAGTTTCCTCATTCTATCATTTTAAACAAGGAAAAGTTTGTTTCTATCAATAAGCGATGGACTTTTACTTTCATTCAGTGGGTATGCACCCCAGTTCTCAGTCAAGTCTTTTTCATTCTCTCTTGTTTGTGTCTGCAGTTCTGATATTGGTAGACTTAGAGAAAGTAAGAGCCACAGATTTTATTGATGCGTGGGCTCAAAGGCTGCCTCAGTGTAGCTGTCAGTGAAGTTGCACTCACTTTTTATATTGTGCTGTTCCTTATAATAGGCACTAGAACTGCAACGGTGACAACAGTAAACAGAGTAGATAGAGATTTTGTATACCCGGAGGAAATTTCATTGGCCTTTTCTGTTGTTTAAAACACAAAGTTGGTAATGCAAGCAAAGTTACCACTAACAGCCCCCACAAAAACATCAATTTGAATATATGTAAATTCTTATCAAGTTACTAGACAAAATATGTATAGCTAACAAAATGTATCAAGTACTGGATGTAGCACTGGATAGCTTTATGCAGAGTTTGCATTTTTTTTCTCTACGCCTCAGGAACCATTCAGAGGGGGAATATGAACACAAAGGTGTTTTTTATTAATAAGTAAGCCATAGAAAACTCGGTGGCTTGAGATCTTTGACATCTCAGGTCGATGTTTCCTTGAGCAGCCTGACCTCTTCTGATCTTAATATCTCTGGTAAGGTGCGCGCGCGTGTGTGTGTGTATGGGTGTTTGAGTAATAACTGTCTGTGCTCAGGAGCGAAGGAGGATGGCGCAGTCGTAAACAACGAAGCATGAGCACCGAGGTCTGCGATTCTATTTTTACTGCTGCGCAGGAGGAAGCAGCATGGAAATGCAATCGCTGCATAATGCACGGCCCCTGTGGAGTGGCACTGGGGTGTTACACAACCAGGTGCTCTCTCTAGACCTGAGCATCACGCTGTGCTGACCGAACCCTTACTTTAGACCCAGTTTACATCTAATGGGAGGTGTGAAGTGCATGCCTCGGTGGATATTAATTAAAAAGTTAGTACAAACCTCATGATGTTTGTTTTAAGTGGACTAAGTTGTCAGAATTCAAAGCAGTATGCTCTTTGAGGGCAGTAAAAGTCTGCACTGTATGTGGACTGCACTTGGAGTGAGCACCGA